TGACTGAAATCATTCGCTTACGGGGAAACTAAGTTGAATTTTACTTGCATTTTATAACAATTCAACGAATTTATTTTTCGTGCGTTATTGTAATCACTACTAAATAATAATCACCAATATCAACACTTCCAAAACAAGTAAGTTATTCACTTGTGACCCGCAGCATGGCCGGATCGAGCTACATGTGATCATTTGCTACTAAGCAGTGCATTCGTGTTTTTATTTGAAACTTCTGTTAGAATATACTTTTCGTTACCAAGAAAATTAAAAAAATAAATGCATATTACATTAAAAATACTGAGTATTTTTTGTATCATGTATCATTTTTGATTGACTGTAATTTTTCAACATTTCGTAACACCTATTTTAGAATCAAAATAAGGCCTTTCACTCTTCCCCGACGCCTATTCAAGAGATTGTACGGTGTATTGTTTGTTTTATGCATGTGTTGTGGACAAAAAATGACCACGCCCATTTAGTGATTGCAATATGTACGTAATAGAAACCGCACCCCGAACTTGAGCTTTTGATCCCAATTTTTAAATTGATACATTGTAATATAAACCGCGGTTTATAATAGGACTTTAACGGTACTAGTATGATCATTGATGTATGTATATGCAGTAATGGTTTGTTGGTGTATGTATAGGGCTGATTCATATACGCTGTATTTAGTTTTTTGTTTTTGTTTTGCATTATTTCTGGTGTATGCTTGTGACAGGAAAAACTCATGAGAGAAATTTTAATAGTGTGAAAATTATGTCATTGTGTTTTAAACATGCTACTCAATTGTAGATTTGGGATTTACAGTGTTTTTATCTGGTAGAAGTCAAGTTTTAGAGAAAATCGTGTTACAGAATGCTAAAAATGAATATTTTTGGAACAATTATACCCATCTTATAATGTATTTTATCGAAATGTAGTTCCATGACCTTATATGTTTTTGTTACATAAAAAACAAAGTGAAAAATAAAAACCCACAAACATTAAAAAGACTGGATACTTGGAGTATTTTTAAATAATTTAATAATCATTTAATAATAAATATGATTTATTGTAAAATAAATTAATATTTTGGCTGCAAATATATTTGTTTTGGTTTGGTTTTGATTTGTTGGTAAATCTTGAAAACATGTGTTTCTAGTATTCTGTTAATTTTACTGATGAATCATATCCTAATGTTTTTATCAACATGTAACAAATAAATACCTTCTCAAAAATACTCAGTTATCTAATTGCTTTTTCAGCTCCGTTGTCGACTTCGTCGAGTGGAGCTTATAGTATTACTGTTTGTCCACCGGCGTCCGTTGTCGTCAACTTTATATTTTCGACTTCTTCTTAAAAACCACAAACTGTGTATAGCTGTGAAACTTTCTAGGAAGGTACCTTGGGTGGTTCTCTCTCAGATTTGTTCATTTCGTGTGGATATGTTTATAGCGAATATTTTTGTCATTTTTGGTACAAAATTATATTTTCGACCTCTCCTTGAAAACTGCTAGTCTGATTGCTTTGATATTGTATGTGTAGGTGTATCAGGTGGACCTCTGTCAGATTTGTTGATTTTGTGACAATATCTTCAATTCTCTAATTTTGATGAATATTTTTGTCATTTCGGGTAAAAAATTATATTTTCGACCTCTCCTTGAAAACTGCTAGTCTGATTGCTTTGATATTGTATATGTAGGTGTATCAGGTGGACCTCTGTCAGATTTGTTGATTTTGTGACAATATTTTTGGTCAAAAACGTTATTTTAACTTCTTCTTGAAAACTGCTAATCCAATTGCTTTGTAACTTTATTTGTAGGTACCTTGGGTGAATCTGTCTGATTTGATTTTTTTATGATGATATCTTCAAATCTCTAATTTTAGTGAAATATTCTCTGCAACAAAATCAAGAAAGTTGGTGTCTTGCGATATTAAAGCAGCTAGCATTAAGTTTAAATTGCTTCTTAGTTATTGCTTTCAGAGTATGCATCACAAACAATGGAGCTATATCAGCCAATAGGCTGCTAGTATGTCCAAACAGTGGAGCTATATCAGCCAATAGGCTGCTAGTATGTGCAAACAGTGGAGCTATATCAGCCAATAGGCTGCTAGTATGTGCAAACAGTGGAGCTATATCAGCCAATAGGCTGCTAGTATGTGCAAACATTCAGGTGTAACTCATGCTAAAAAAAATATGTATTTTTGTATATTTACTTAGGTTCGTGACATGTTCTCAATGGCAAGAAAAAATGCACCCTGTATACTGTTTATTGATGAAATAGACGCAGTTGGTCGTAAACGAGGTCGGAGTAATTTTGGTGGACAGAGCGAACAAGAAAACACCTTGAACCAACTGCTGGTAGAAATGGATGGTAAGTGAATCCATTGGTGGAAGACGGGCTTGGGACCAACCATTATTGAATGGGGTAGGGAGTACATAAAGCAGCAATTGGAGAGGATGGGACTAATCCGTGTTTAAGAGAATGAAGAAGTAGGTTGGGCCATTCATTAGTTGGGGGGAGGGGTCAGCTGGGAATAGAACAGTCTGTTGGTTAAGGGGGTTGCAAGAGTGTTAGTAATCTCTAAGCTGTACATTGTGTGTAAATTGACATTACCCAATAAGTGAGTTTCAAGTTCCCTGGTTGACACATTAGTTAGCATCTGCAGAAGAAGATGGGGTGATTCTATAGCCAGTTATGAGGCTGTTTGCCCCAGTTGTTAAGTTGAAAAGATATTATGACTGTTCAGAACTGAAGATTATATAGTAAAACCTCTATTCAATGGTGTATTTACAATGCTGATGACTACATGATGTGTACCCATATAATAGCATAACACTTTTTATATTCTACCAAAGGTGCTGGTTAACTGGTAGCCATTTATTCAAAAGCTTATTTGATTTAATGAATCGTAGCACATACCTGAATCACACAAGGTAGTTTTACACAGTTTGATTTGCTCAAATCAGACAACTGCTAATTGTGACAACTTATTTCTATTCAGGTTTTAACACCACTACTAATGTGGTAGTTTTAGCAGGAACAAACAGATTAGACATATTGGACCCAGCGCTGTTGAGACCGGGTAGATTTGATAGACAGATATATATTGGAGCTCCTGATATCAAAGGAAGGTAAGTGAAACATGCATGTGGTAGAACATTAAGTCAGTATGTTTTTGCTGTATTATAAAATTCCTTTTAATTTCTTCTTTTCTCCTATTAGGGCTTCAATATTTAAGGTGCATCTTAAACCTCTTAAGACTGAGGTTAATAAAAATGATTTATCTCGAAAACTAGCAGCATTGACGCCAGGTTTCACTGGTAAGTAGAAATTACATGAAATATAACATTGAAACATGAAAAAAACATCCTGTCAGATTGGGTCAGAGTCATGTATAAATGGATGACTGCTACAGCCAGCAATGGGTGACTGCTGCGACCACCAATGGATGACTGCTGCGACCACCAATGGATGACTGCTGCGGGCAGCAGTGAATGACTGCTAAGGAAAACGTTGGTGACTTCTACCATTCAAAAAAAATCTTGATTCCCAACCTGTATCTATACATTGACTACCACAGCGACTATATAACAAACCGAAATTTGTCTGTTCAATATTTCAAAGTTCGAAACGAGGCTCATAATTTGGTCTCTGTCCATCCGACCATCCTGAGTCGTATTTCAGAACCCTATGGACCAAATCTTATTTACATGTGCCTAGTGCTTTATCTGGGACTTATGCACATGCAGTTGATTACTGATTCAATCAAAGATGGCTAACTGGTGGCCATCTTGCTTTTTGACCTTACTACTATATCTCCAAGGCTTTGGGACTATTTTCAATCTCAATTGGCACATACATCATACATATTGGAATAAATGTTCATGTCAGTTTGTTCCATAATCAGATCAAAGTTGGCCGACTGGCATCCATCTTGTTTTTTTTTAAATGTGGTGTCTTGGACAGGATTTGTCAGTTTGCATTCAAATTTGATACAAACATTATACATGTTAAATAACATGTCTATGATGATTCGTTTCGTGTTTTGTATCTCTGTACATGAGCCTGGACAAATGAAATTCAGTTTGGATACAAAAAATGCATGAATACCATATCCTGTTTAATTTCTTACCATATATTACAATTTATAAAGAGTCATTTAATACACTAAATTATTAACTATGCCTTTTGTCCATGTTACATTATTTTTGGCATGAATAACTCCAACAGGGACTATGTCATTAACAATGACTTGTTTACGTCTCCATTGTAGGTGCTGATGTTGCCAATGTATGCAATGAAGCAGCGTTGATAGCAGCAAGACATCTCAATCCAAGCATTCTTGAGAAGCATTTTGAGCAAGCTATTGAAAGAGTTATCGGCGGTAAGTAAACACCGATAAAAAGTAAAGTTTGTGTTTTCACAAAAAGTAAATGATTGAAATAAAAATTGAATTTGACCAGAAGGGCTGAGGAATAAAGTGTATTCACATGTCTGCAATTATGTGAATGCGTGGAGGGTGCTGAAATTGGGGTTCTATGTACATGTCTGCAATTATGTGAATGCGTGGAGGGTGCTGAAATTGGGGTTCTATGTACATGTCTGCAATTATGTGAATGCATGGAGGGTGCTGAAATTGGGGTTCTATGTACATGTCTGCAATTATGTGAATGCGTGGAGGGTGCTGAAATTGGGGTTCTATGTACATGTCTGCAATTATGTGAATGCGTGGAGGGTGCTGAAATTGGGGTTCTATGTACATGTCTGCAATTGTGTGAATGCGTGGAGGGTGCTGAAATTGGGGTTCTATGTACATGTCTGCAATTGTGTGAATGCGTGGAGGGTGCTGAAATTGGTGTTCTATGTACATGTCTGCAATTATGTGAATGCGTGGAGGGTGCTGAAATTGGTGTTCTATGTACATGTCTGCAATTGTGTGAATGCGTGGAGGGTGCTGAAATTGGGGTTCTATGTACATGTCTGCAATTGTGTGAATGCGTGGAGGGTGCTGAAATTGGGGTTCTATGTACATGTCTGCAATTATGTGAATGCGTGGAGGGTGCTGAAATTGGTGTTCTATGTACATGTCTGCAATTATGTGAATGCGTGGAGGGTGCTGAAATTTGTGTTCTATGTACATGTCTGCAATTATGTGAATGCGTGGAGGGTGCTGAAATTGGGGTTCTATGTACATGTCTGCAATTATGTGAATGCGTGGAGGGTGCTGAAATTGGGGTTCTATGTACATGTCTGCAATTATGTGAATGCGTGGAGGGTGCTGAAATTGGTGTTCTATGTACATGTCTGCAATTATGTGAATGCGTGGAGGGTGCTGAAATT